TGCCTTGAGGAGGAAGGTGGAGGTTGCAGTGAGACAAGGTCACGCCACTGCACTCCAGCCTGGATGACAGAGCAAGACTCTGTCTCAAAAAAACAAAAGAAAAGAAAATGATCTTCTATGAATGACGTCAATCCCCAACAAAGAGCAAGAAAAATGAGCTGCCTCTGCCTTTTTCTGCCGCCTACCTTACACGACTTTCTGAAAAGCTGAAAGGGACAGTGCTGCTCATGTCTCTGCAGCGCCTGCCCTTCATTAGAAAAAAGAAAAAGAAAAAAAAAGAAAAGTTGAATAAGATAAGACTCATGAGATCCTAAAGAGTACTGAAAGACCTAAACATGTCTTAGGTCTGCTATGAACAGGATGAAACAGATAAATATCAAAAAGCAATCTGGTCACATTTCACATTTTAAAAATCTTTTCATCACTTTGGGACTCTATTCAATCTAATAGAAATGCACACCAAATCAACACATGCTTACCTCATCCCTGAGTGAAGGATCCCTATAGGCCACATCAGACAGCAGAGTTACCAAGCAGAAGCTGAAGCTCTCTGCAACTGGGAGGGCACCTGGAAGATGTAAAAACAGTAATCAGATAACCAGGAACCAGATACTGGGTCACACCTCTGGCCATTCAACTCAGTATGTTCCCTCTCACCATGACCTGCCAAGGGACCAGTTTACAGCAGCTCCCCTCCTTGAGACAAGTCTCAAAAGAACAGCTATGGGCCCAATGAGTTTGCTGAGAAACACCCCTACCTTTCCTTTATGTAAATGTTTTGGTTCAATAAACTTAAATGTTTCCTGAGCCAAGAGCCAGTGTGAGATAACAGAGCCTCTCAACATGACGGATTCAACTTTTTATTCCCTAAGTAAATGTGAGAAATCACAAAAAAATTAAAAAATAATAATAATAAAATTAAAAAAAAAAACACTTGGCTGGGCGTAGTAGCTCACACCTATAATCCCAGCACTTCTGGGGGGCCAAGGCAGAGAGATCACCTGAGGTCAGGAGTTCGAGACCAGCCCGGCCAACCTGGTGAAACCCCGTCTCTACTAAAAATACAAAAATCAGCTGGGTGTGGTGGCGTACACCTATCCCAGCCACTTGGGAGGCTGAGGCAGGAGAATCGCTTGAAGCCAGGAGGTGGAGGTTGCAGTGAGCTGAAATTGCACCACTGTACTCCAGCCTGGGTGACAGAATGAGTTATCTCAAAAATAAAAAATTAATCAATTTTGAATATTGAATATTGAATTAAGGACAAAAGAGTATCCATTATTTACTGGATATATTCATAGTACATGACAGAAGACTTACATTTCTACTCCAACACCTAAAATTTTAAAGTGCAGCTCTAGGCTATTCTCAAACTTGAATATGCCCATGCCCAGCCTAAAATTTGACTTTTTAGTAATGAGGCTCTATTTAATTTGTAGTCTATCAAATTGCACGACAGACTGGGTGCGGTGGCTCACGCCTATAGTGCTAGCACCTTAGGAGGCCGAGGAAGGCAGACCACTTGAGGCCAGGAGTTCAAGACCAGCCCAGCCAACATGGCAAAATTCTGTCTCTACCGAAGATACAAAAATTAGCCAGGCATGGTGGTGCATGCCTGTAATCCCAGGTACTGGGGAGGCTGAGGTACGAGAATCGCTTGAACCCAGGAGGTGGAGGTTGCAGTGAACCGAGGTCAGGCCACTGCACTCCAGCTTGGAGTGCAGACAGAGTGACACACTGTCTCAAAGTCACTCTGTCTCAAAACACAAAAAAGAAACAAAATCCTAACAAATTGCAGGATACATGCATAATTTGGGATCTGTCAGTTTTAGGCATGTTACCAGAAATGATGAAAACCCAAAGGTCAAGAGGAATATAGGCACAAACAGAATGTTTTTTAATTTTTATTTCGGGTTCAGGGGTACATGTGCAGTTTTGTTATACAGGTAAACTGCATGTTACGGGGATTTGGTGTACAGATTATTTCATCATCCCCGTAGTAAGTATAGTACCCAAAAAGTAGTTTTCCCGGCCGG